ATAGATAGATAGATAGATAGATAGATAGATAGATAGATAGACAGATAATAGATAGATAGATAGATAGATAGATAGATAGATAGATAGATAATAGATTGATAATAGATCGATAGATAAGTAGACAGACAGACAGATGGATAGATAGATAATAGATAGATAGATAGATAGATAGATAGATAGATAGATAGATAGATAGATAATAGAGATTGATCTAGATAATAGATATATGATAGATAGATATAGATAATAGATTGATAGAGATAGATGATAGATAGACTAGATCGATAGATAGAAAGATAGATAGATAGAAAGATAGATAGATAAATAGAAAGACAGATGACAGATTTATGTAGCTTCTCAGGGCATCGTGCAGCAGGTTTCCAGGTGAAACCAGAGAGGCTGATCCGAACTTGTAGTATTATATAAATAAATATATTTTCCGTCTCCGTATACCGCAAAGTCAGACAAACAGGAGCTTCATGAGGTAAATTGCAGGGCACATCGAAGAAAAAGGTGGGAAAAAAGGGAACGCCCCCTCCACACCCACAGCAACCAATCACAGCGCAGATTGCCTCACGCGGGAGCCAGACCTTTCCCATCAATCAACTATAATGGTTGTTCTGGCTCACTGCACGGGGCCCCTATTAAATTTAATTATAATAAGATACTCACAGTGGATGGAAATTTACATTGACTTTATTGCATATTTTTGTGTCAAGTGCACTGCGGTTAAACCTCAGAGCTGGGAACAGTCCATCATCAGCCTCAGTGGATCTCAAAAATTCATTTGGGTGGGAACCCAGAAGATCCCAGGGCTATTAATCAGTCTCAGAAAACCCAAAATTTCCTCCTTTTTGCATTTCTCTAATGCGTTTTTGCAGCGAAGCCGCCCAGCAAAAAACACAGAGATAGATTGACTAAAGGCAAACCAGGTTACCTTCCTAATCCTGGCTTGTAAAGTGGACAGTACTCAACTTATGATCACAACTGAGCCCAAAATGTTTGCTGCTACGTGAGAAATTTGTTAAGCGAGTTTTGCCTCATTTTACCATTTTTCTTGCCATGTTGGTTAAGTGAACCCCTTCCAATGGTTAAGTTAGTCGCTTGGTCGTTAAGTGAATCTGGCTTCCCCATTGACTGGCCAGCCGGTTGCAAAAAGGGATCACGTGACCCCGAGACATTGCAACCATCATAAATATGAGTCGGTTGCCAAGCATCTGAATTTTGATCGTGTGACCCTGGGGATGTTGCAATGGCCATGTGTGAAAAATGGTCATTTTTTCAGTACAGTTGTAACTTCAAATGGTCACTAAACAGATGAAGACCTGCATGTGCTGCAGAGTTCAAAGGCATCGACATAAGTTTTATGCAATCCGTTCAAATGCTTGGCAAGCATCATGACCTGAACTCAGGTTACAGAAATTCCTCGGATGACCTCCTTCGACCTTGGATGCAAACAGGCATGGATGACCCTCTTAAATAACTAGTGCTTTGCCACAGGGGTCTTGCGTTTCACCCCTGGAATTATCAACTAAGGAAGCTTAATCTCTGCTTAAAAATTGTTAGCAGGTCAGAGCTGAGTTGCCTTTAATGATTTTATTTTTTAAACGGGTATTAACAGATAGTCCTCGACTTACGACCACAATTGGGAACAGAATTTGCACTACTATTAAGCAAAAGAGTTATGAAGCGAATCGTGACTGGTTTAGCAATTTTTTTCACCAAGTTTGTTAAGTGAATCGCTGCAATTAACCATTGTTAACACTTAACAGTTGTAAACCGCTTAGAAGGGGCTATAAAGCATTATAAAGCGGCATACAAATCTAAATGCTATTGTTATTAAGCACATCCGGCTTCCCACTTTGCTTGTCGGAAGCTGGCTGGGAAGGTCACCAATGGAGATGACGTGACCCTGGTATGCTTGCCAAGTGCCCAAATTTTGATCATGAGATTGTGGGGATGCTGTGATGGTCATAAGTGCGAGGATCTGAGTATTGATTTTACTAACATGAGCACCCTTCGTATGTGTGAACGCCAATTCTTAGGATTCTTAGCTGTGGTGGTGGCAGCTTGTAAATGGTGACTTGTAAATTTGGACAGATGGTTCCTATATTATATGTTGGTAAATCCTGGATTTATTAAATGAGCTTGTTCTTGCACAATTTCCCAGTTCAATTTACTTACCACCAATTCTCGTGGCAAGTTGCGCAGCAAATAAATTCAGTAAATAATAATACAGATAGTCCTTGACTTAAAATCATAACTGAGCTGAAAATTTCCATTACTAAGAGAGACAGTTGTTAAGTGAGTTTTGCCTCGGTTGCTCAGTAAATCACTGCAGCTATTAAGTTAGTAACACAGTTGTTAAGTGAATCTGGCTTCCCCAGTGTTTGTCAGAAGGCTGCAAACATGATAAGTTCGAGACACTGCAACTGTCATAATACAAACCAGTTGCCAATGTCTGAATTTTGATCATGTAATCCTGGGGATGCTATAACAGTTGTAAGTGTGAAAAATGGTCATAAGTCACTTTCTTCAGTGACATTGTAATTTTGGTTATTATACAAATCGTTGTAAATTGAAGACTACCCATAATAATATCTACTTTGGCATCATTGCCTCATTTCAGTTACAGGGGACTATTGGAATATCAGATATGCATTGTAAGTCCCCTATTTCAGGCAGTTCATAACTTCGAACGATCACTAAGTGACCAGTAATAAGTTGAGGACTACCTGTAGAAGGAAGTCCTACCGAGAAAGATCAATGGACTTCATTTACCTTGAACGCTCAATTCAGCAATGGTTCTGCTGCCTTCCTTCATCTCGCAAATATAGACAGCATCATCATCCATGGTGACATTTTGAATGGTGAGCTTGCGGCATATCCCATCTTCTTCAATCTTGTACTTGTCATTCTGTTGAAGTCTGGTCTCCTCTTTGAACCAAGTGGTCTCTATATCAGAACAGGGCACTTCACACAAGAAGATCACGGAGTCCTTCTCCCGAACTTCCAAATCTTGGAGTTTTGTCTTGAAAGGTATTTTTGGTTCTGGGGAAGAACCAGATGGAAAAATGAACTTGGTAAGACACAAGACTGAAGAACCAACAAACAGCAAGTGTGGATTGTTCTCAACGACATTAAGATCGTGGAGAACATTAGTGGAACATTAGGATCTAGAATATCAGTAGAACATTAAAATCCAGTAGAACATCAGTACAATGTTATGATTGAGTAACGTTATGATCAAGGGGAACATCAGTAGAAAATTATGATCAAGGGGAACATCAATGGAACACTGTAATCAAGTAGAACATCAATAGAACACTCTGATCAAGTAGAACATCTGTAGAACATTTAGATCAAATAGAAAATGTAGAACATTGAGATCAAGTAGAATATCAATAGAATATTGTGATCAAGTAGAACATCAATAGAAAATTATGATCAAGTGGAACATCAGTAGAACATTACGATTAAGTGGAACAGCAGTACAGTTAATCCTCATCTTATGACCATAAAAGCTCCAAGTTTCCATTGCTAAGCAAGATAATTAAGTGAGTTTTGCCCCATTGTATGACCTTTTCTTGCGAGAAATGAACCATAAGTGAACCTGTACTTACAACCATAAATCATGAAGTTTAAACGGGACACCATGTGACCACACCAATTTTACAATATATTTGGAGTGGTCATTAAATCAATCCGATGGTTGTCAAGAGACTGCTACAGTCGTTAAATGAATGATACGCTCATAAAGTAAACTTAGTCCACTAAGGCAGAGGTCGCCAACCTTTTGGACCTCAGGGACCACTAAACTCATAATTTTAAATTCCAGGGACCACTAACCAGTTCTGTGGGCATGGCCTAATTTGTGGGTGTGGTTTGGTGGTCATGTGACTGGCTGGACATGGCTTATATGTAAACATTATAAATATTTATATAAACATTGAATTTTTTATTAAAAAAAGCAATTTTTATCCAAAATCAGGCAAAGCAGGTAGGCAGATGGAGTTGCTCACAGAATCATTCAGTGATATATCTATCTGCCATCGGCTAGCTCAGCCTGTCACATAAAATTTGCTTGCCGTGAGTCTGCACTGGATAATAGAAGCTTCAGTCCTAAGGGAGGTTTGGCTGTGCTTAAAAGCAAAGCCGAAGATCTAAAGACTAGCTAGAAAGCAAGAAATCCAACCATTTCCTGCTTCCTAACTAATCTAAATCTCCCGGCACAACAGAGCAGCTGATGGTCGGGGAAAAGAAAAGGAAAAATAGCAATTTAGCAGGCAAGTTTGCTGGGTAAGGAGTGAGTGGGTGGGGAGGGCTCCCGCGGGCCAGGTGGGCGGCGCAGCCTTGTGTTCCTGCGCAGCCTGGATTAATTGCTTTGAGGGGGGTGTCCTGGGGCCCACCAAAATTTTCTCACAGCCCACAGGTTGGCGATCACTGCACTAAGGGTGTCTTTTTGTTCTAAAAAAGATATAAATTTTCAGCAAAACCACCATAAATCACAATCGTGGGATGCTGAAAATGGTCATAAAGCAGGTTGGTTGCCAAGCGCCCAAAGTGAGCCAGGAGGGAGGACATCAAAATTTGGAGTCTAGGTTCAAAGTAGCTTTTCCTAGGATCTATTGTAATTTCAGAACATAAGTGACTGGTCATAAATCAAGGACTACTTTCTGTGCTTACTTGAAACTTAGATGTCTTTAAGGATCTTGATTCAGAAAATGTCAGTGAATTATGGATTTGAGATTAAGGATCCATTTTTACACAGGATCAAATCACCATCCAACTGAACATGAAAATTGAATATCTGCACCCTGCTAATGTCAATCTCCTTGTAAAACTAGCCAAGAAACATGTTTACTTCCTTGGCACCTACTACTGCTGAAGATATGCCTGGGATTAGATTTCTTCTAGTTTAAAAATACTTTAACAGTCTTCTTTTAGTTGTGAAGCTAAATGTTCTTAAAAAAAAAACACTACTACATATTGTCCTTGACTTATAACCATTTGTTTAATAACCGTTCAAAGTTACAATGGCACTGGAAAAAGTGATTCCTGATCATTTTTCACAATAACAACCATGGCTCCCTCCCTGTGGTCATGTGTTTGGAATTTGGCCACTTGGCAATTGACTCATATTTATGACGGTTGCAGTGTCCCGGGGTCACGCAATCCCCTTTTGTGACCTTCTGACAAGCAAAGTCAATGCAGGAGTCAGATTCACAACCATGTTATTAACCATGTTATTAACTTAACAACTGCAGGGATTTGCTTAACAACTGTGGCAAGAAAGGTCATTAAATGGGGGGAGGAATTGTGTTTAGTTTAGCAACATAAATTTTGGGCTCACTTGTGATCATAAGTTGAGAACGACCTATTTGTTGTAAATAGGAAGTCAAGAGAATTATTCTGATTTTGTTGAATTGACTGCTGATCTGAGGGTATTTCCTTACAACTTCTACCAGTGTTTCTCAATGGTGATAAATTGGAGACAGGTGGAGCTACAGCTACTCACCTTTGACATTCACCAACAAAGAACCATAGGTCTGTCCTGCCAAATTGTGGTCTGGAGCCCATTGTGCGACACAATGGAGGATCTATTCTATGGCTGCTCACTTTTGACGATTATCAATGAACCACCATAGGTCTGTCCTACCAAATTCTCTGGTCTGGAGCTCATTGTGCGACACAATGGAGGATCTATGACTACTCACCTTTTACGGTCACCAACACAGAACTGTAGGTCTGACCCGCCAAATTTGAAGCTGTGCAGGTGTAGAGGCCATTATCGACCTGTTTGCAGAAGAGGATCTTCAAGACAAAATTCTCTTGCTCGTCCTCGTAAATTATGTGTCTCCGGCTCTCCATGATAACCTCTCCGTCCTTCTTCCAAACTGTCTCCGGTTTGGGTTCTCCGGTTACGTAGCAGCTCATTTTGGCGTGCTTGCCCTCGGTGACAGTGAAACTTCGGGTGGTGACCCGATAATATGAACCTCCATCGCCTCGGAGTCCCTTGGAGGTCAAATTAGCAGCCCGTTCGTAATCTAAGGACAAGCTCAATCCAAGTTTGGACCGTCCTTCAGTGGAGATCAAGGAGTCTACTTTGGACAAATCGCCCTTCCGGATTTCTTCTCGTCTTTTCTGCATGTGGGACAACAACGGAGAGGTCTTGCTACTGATGTCATCTATACTGTGTCTCGTGCTGCCTGGGCTGTATGAATCTGGAAGATCTACCATCAACGCAGCAGCTGCACTGGAGGATCCTAAAGGATTCTCTGCGTGGCAAGTGTAGGTCCCACTGTCTCCCAAATGAGTATTTTGGATCTTCAGAGCATTCTTCTCGCCCTGGGATTCAATCCGGATCCGGTTGGAGTCTGACAATTTTCCCAGATGCTTCCCGTCCTTCTCCCAGTTGATGGCGAGGGGAGGACTACCTTGGACGATGCACTTGAACATGGCGTCTTCACCCATGATCACTCGGATGGATGTGGGCTTCTGGATGAAATATGGGGCCGATTCTGTCACCGTGGTCTGCTCGCCGACTTTGATGCTGACAGCGGCGAAGGCTTCCCCAATGGTGTTCCTGGCCCGGCAGATATACTGACCACTGTCCTCCAAGCTCAGGTTGTAAATGGTGAGACGATAAAGGTCATCATCTTCTACCATCTTGAAGCGTCCTCCTGTCTGGATGGGGAGTTTGTCCTTCTCCCAGTTCACCAATGGGATGGGGTTGCCAATGATCTGGCAGCTCAGGGTGGCATCTTTGCCCATGGAGACCACAAAGGCTTTGGGCCTCGTCAAGAACCTTGGCACACCACTGTAGGAAATGTAATCCATCTTGATGGCCTACAAGAAGAAGAACAACAGCAAACATGAGCACCAAAGCAAGAAAATGAATTTTGTGGATACTAATGAAAGGTTGTACAGATAGTCCTTGTCCTATGACTATTCATTGAGTGACTGTTTGAAATTACAACAGCATGGAAAAAGGTGAGAAGTCCTTGCACTTATGACCTTCAGTATATTCCCGTGATCACTAAATACATGTTTGTAAGTTGAGGAGAACCTGTAGAACATCAGGATCAAGAAGTAGAATATTATGGGAACTTCCGGTTTGTAGGGCTTCGGCGGTAGCAGGAATCCGCGATCGTGTGCGGTTTCTGCTTGCGCTCACTGCTGGAGTGCCCCGAGCCATCTGGCTTCGGGGCTAAGTCACCCCGTAGAGGTGACTGAAGATAGGGGAGACCCAGCAAGGCTTGAGGGGAGCCACATCTCCCCTCCCCAGCTGGCTTAACTCCCTTTTCCAAAGGCGGTAGAGCGGCGGTCAGAAATGGCCACCACAAAGAAGCACTCATCCGGAAAAGAATGTGCAGGAGGAAGCTAAGAAACGAAAGTTTTGGCTGACTGGGATGAGAAGCAACATTCAAGATACCCTGGAATTTAAATTTTAAAAAAGGATACATCGCTCCCAAAGAAGATCCGGAAGCAGCGAATGAAAGTGAAAAGGGAAAGTTTGTTTTTTCTTACTCTCCTTCCTTATGGTGACAGCAGATAAATGAGAAATCGGAAAAACCCACTTTGGCATCAGCAGGTAATTAAACTGGAAAATTAAAGCCAAGGGGACAATAAAGATTTCTGATCACTGAAAAATCTTTTTCTTGCTGTAAGTAGGAAGGGAGAGGAAAAGAATAAGAGTAAGATTTGGCTGGAGGAGACTGCTTGGAATTTTAAAATAATCTAAAGTTAAATTGTAACAAGACTTCTAAAAGATACATTTTAATTGGAACTTTATAACTGAATTGTAGCCCCAGGAAGAGACAGTGAAAAAAGAAGAAAGTGTTAAATGAAACAGCTTGTGTGTATTTGGACTGCTTGGTGACTCTGGGACTTTTGGAAATTATATTTCAATGATTAAAAACACTTGGGTGGTTGTTTAGAAAATTTTTCACAATGGCATCACTTGTGGATGAACTGAAAATGGAATTCAAAAAATATAAAGAAGAGGAACAAGAAGGGAAGGGCTCTTTTAGCTCCATTTTTCATTTTTTAGAAATGGCAATTTCTACATATGAGAAACTATAAGAACAAGAAGATTGGGACAAAGAAGAAGCCATCTTTAATGAACAAGTAACTTTATCTGGGGAAGAAAGGGGAAAGGGGGGAAAGAGAATGGAGAATTTAAGACCTAAAAAACCAACCAAAAAAGGGAAAAATAAGGTGAAAAGTGGATATAATGTTAGAAAGCAACAGAAAAGAGGAATACAGAAGAGGGAAATGGAGATGGAGAGACAAGGGGGTAAAAAGGGCAGAATGAAGAAGCAAGGGAGGAAGGAAGGGAAGAGAAGCTACAAAGGTTTGAAACAAGATGTAAAGAAACAGGATTTATTTAGAGATAATGGGTAAAATATAACTGAAAAATAGATTCTGCAAAGGTACATAAGACTGTATTGTTGTATTTGTATTAAAAATAATGTTAGAAAATTGGAATAACATATGATTATAAAATGGGATAAAATATTCAATGTAATTCAGTGAAACTTTTTTTTCCTGAACAAAATAAATGAAATGAAATATGAGAGAATTGAACTAAGAAGGAATGGGAACATTTTAATTATATAATGTTTTAAAATATAAGTGAAATGGGGAGGAAGTAATTACGTAAAATGTATAACTGTTCCCATAGAAGCATGATACCCATTTGAAAAGGAATGTGTAAAATGTTTAAGATTTAAATGAATATTAATTTTAATGATAGAGTTCAATTGGTATGGATTGTTGTTTTAATTATACTATATATTTATAATTTTTTCTTTTCTTAAAATAGTTTTAGAATGTACTAAGCAGAATCCGAATGAAAGTTATGTATTATATTAAGTGTTAAATTTAGGGGAAAGATATAAAGGCGTCATACTCCAATCAGTGATAACAGGAGAAATTTTGTGTTAATGAGAAAAGATAATAGACAACTGAAACAGGACAGACAAAGGATATAAGTATAATGATTTAAATTAAGATGAAATAAATAAAATAGAATTAAGAGAGTGAAAAGAGGGGAGAAGCTATATAAAAAATGTAGAATGGTAATAAGATATGGAATGGTATATAAAAGTGAGCATCAACTTGAATTTATGTCTGTACGAAGAGATGTAACCCGGGATCAAGCTGCTTTCAAAAAAGATGTTTTATGTTTTTCATGTTTTGTGTTTTGTTTGTATATGTTTGTTTTTTAAAAATTAATATAATTTTTGGGAAAAAAAAAGAAGTAGAATATTATGATCAAGTAGAATACCAAGGTTCATTTTATCTGTACAACTAGGATCTGTAGCCATTCTTTTCCTAGGTTGGAGAAAATACAGATAGTCCTCAACTTACAACTGCTTGTTAAAGGACCATTCAAAGTTGCAACAGCACTGAAAAAAGGTGACTTACAACTGGTCCTCATGCTTACAAGCCTCCCCGCAGTGACATGATCAAAATTTCAGCGCTTGGCAACTGGCCAGGGTTTATGATGGTTGCAATATCCCGGGGTCATGTGATTACCATTCACAAGCAAAATAAGGGGAGAAATCACACTCACTTAATGACTGCAAGATACATAAAACAGCTTCAAGTGATCCGCTTAAGAACCATGACATAAGAGGTCGTAAAAGCAGATGTGACTCACTTAACAAGCACTTTGGTGCCAACTGTGGCTGTCAATCACGGACTACGTGTAATCAGCAGGGGTCGCAGGAAGCCTTTGGGTGCAATAAACATGGATACAATCCACATCTCTATGGGCAGGTAGTCCTCGACTTACAACCAGTTGCTTAGCAGCCCCTCAAAGTTATGTCAGATTTCCCTGGCAGTTCCTATGACTCAGTTCTGAAGTTCTGAAAGCCTCCATGACTTTGGTCCCTCAGCCATTTCCAGTCATTCTATAATCACATGATCCTGTTTTACCATGATCCACTAAGTGACCGTTGCAGAAAAGATCATAAAATCAAGTCTGTCATGTGGATGACCTGATTTACGATTGTCACAAAATTCCACTTTATTTAGCTACAGTTAGGTTATAAATAGGAAGTTCAAAGAATTATTCTGCATGTTGCCTCTTGTTGAAAGAACCGCTAATTTTAGGTTAATTCCTTTCACCTTACCTTCCAGTGCTTTTCAGACTTGGCTATGGGAAGACAGGTAGACTTCAACTCCCAGAATTCCCCAGCCAGCCAAGACACCCGAAGGATGGAGAGAGAGATAATAGGGTTAGATAATAGGTAGATGACACAGAGAGAGTGGGGGGAGGAAGGGAGGGAGGGGGCAGAGAGAAAGAGGGGGGAGTGAAGGAAGGAAAGAAAGAAAAAAAGAAAGGAGGGAAGGAAGGAAGGAAAAAGGAAAGAAAGAAAGAAAGAAAGAAAGGAAGGAAGGAAGGAAGGAAGGAAGGAAGGA